CTCTTTGTAAAAATTACGATTCCTACCCCCTAACCCTCCCTCTTCCCCTCCCACCCAGCCTCCTCCCGCCCCCCTGCCTGGCACTATACTGCCAGGGTAGGGAGGGAGGCGCGAGGGGGGCAGGGTGGGGGTTTAGGGGTAGAAACCATCATATTTGTACCCCAAATAAATTGGTGTATAAGTAACTAGTGTCATTTTAGACGCTCCCATATTTAAATTACCTATCCATGTAATAGAGTGACAGTCCCCTTTGCCAAAGATCTGATTATCCCCAAAAAAACTCCATTACTAAAAATTGATGTCCCTCCAGGAGCCAGATGTGAGATGAATTCTAATAAATGATTCAACGCATAGATGATCTCACATTCTCTATGGCGAGGATTGAGCTTGATAGCTTTGTCAAACTCCACCAAAGACCCCATCACATCTCCCTTCATCCAAAAAAAAGGGGGATCCAATTACTCATATAAACAAACTGCCTAACCATTAACCAAACTGAATCATCAAAGAAGAAATTTCCTACGAATTCACCTGCCTGAAGAGATGCATTCCGTGGCGAATGGAGACGGCCGCCTCGCGGGAAGAGTTACCGCCGGCGAGTGCATCCCAGATTCCCGAAACTGAAGGGAGGGGGAGTTTCCTAGATCAAGTCCGCCATGGACGCAGAGTTCGGGATTGCGGGATAGTGACTCCAGTTGAGGGTTTTGGGAAGGGGTTAAGAGAGGTTATGGGCTGAGGACTGAAAGTGTGGGTCGTCGCCATGGAAGACAGTGGAGCTCGGAGGGAGAGAGAGGGGGATGAATCCAACAAGGCTCACTAGACTCGTACTCTGGCTGTAATACTACTTATATTTAAATAATATAAAATGATACTCCCTCCGTCCGGAAAAGAAGTTTACGTTTCTCTTTTTTTCCGTCCAGAAATAAAGTTTACATTTCTAATTTTAATCCATAATCTTCCAAAAATACCCCTCTCTTCTTTCTTCCTTTACTTTTTCCTTATTTCTCCCTTCTCTTCTCCGCCACTCCTTATCCCCATCTTTCTCTTTAGCTTCTTCTCTCTTTTCATTCTTTTGCTTCTCCTCCCAAACGCAACTCTTTTTTTCCTTTTCTTCTTTTCTCCGTTCTCTTTGTGTAGATCTCACTTCTTCTTCTTTCGCATCCTCCATCTCCCTCCTCCATCTCCCTCTTTCTTCGAGATCTAAAAAGATCTACAATTGCAGAGATGGCAGATGGCGGCTATTAAGGTGATAGCGGGGATGGGGGCTGGCGGTGACATAGTGCTGGCGGAGATGGAGGATTGGCAGCGGTGATAAGGATAGTGGTTGTGATAGGCGATGGAGGCGATGAATGGGGGCAAGCGCGACGGTAGGCTGATGATTGTGGTGAGGGATGGCGGTGAGGGATGACCGCGAAGGGAGGCTGCCGGAGACGGGGGCTGACAGGGTCTAGCGGCAGGCAAGCCGACAATGGGGGTTGCCGAAATTGGCACTGTGGTGAAGCTAGAAGTGGGAGGGTATTTTGGATAAATTGACTCCATAGTCAACTATCAATAAAAATGACTAAAAGTCAAAACGTAAACTTCTTTTCCGGACAGAGGGAGTAAAAATTAAAAGATTACAGATCTTATTAAAATTGTCCAAAATAAGGTAGTGTACAGTAAGGACCGTAGTTGATGTGCAGTGTTATAAGTTTTGGAACACTTCTTTATAAACTATATTCGTAGTTTGATTTGTTGACGTAAGGCCTTTATTGCAAATCAAGAACTCTAACCCTCACGACTTGTAACACGTGAAATTGCAACATAGAGTTAATCATGACCGAATACCAATATCTTCCGTAGCAATCCAACATGCGAAAAATTAAAGATTGACCTTGACTATTGTTAATTGTCATTGTATATGAAGTCATGATTGAAAATTATTTACTTTGAAATCTAAAAGGAATTCTTACATCTGACGGTGTAAGTGACAATCGTGAGATAACTTCTTGCCCGACATTTTTTCCTGTCATCGCCGTGCCTTGAATAGATGATTGCACATGGGATAACAACTTCATACCCGTGCATTGCACAGTAAGATAATTTTTTAAAAATTTTAAAAATAAACAATTTGTTTAAAAAATCTAAATACATAATCAAATAAATACTCCATAAGTTTTAAAAATATTTACACAACATAAATTATCTCAAATCATTAAAAAATACCTAACAATTAGTACACGAATAAAACACATATTCTCAATTCTCAATGGAAAAGTTTACTTCAAAAACGAACATGAATGACAAATAATTCTATTAGTAAGAAAGAATGTCACAACTGAACACCTTACGAATAAAAGTATAGTAAAAATGAAATGAATAACAAAACACAACATTATACACCGTTATATAAGGGACTAAGGGTACATTGTCCCTCATATGTGCTTCCTTTAAAAAAAAAGAGACCATTTTCTTTGAGGTCGACTCAGGCTCATAGAAATACAGCATGCCGTGAGGATTGTAAATGGCTCGGCAGAGTCAAGAGATCAGCCCTGGGCCCACTTGTCATACTTTGGTATCACCACATAAAGTCCTTGAGATGATCAAATCGATAAATAATGTGTGCTTTTATACTATGTTATTCTTACCTATAGTAGCTCATTATATTTGGAATCACATCTCGGAAAGGATACTCTTGGAGGATGTCAATTGTATCCTACAAAATGATCACTCAATAGCAAAGTTTTAAGTAATTAAAAAGATATTACCTCTCCTAAAAAAATTACCATGAAATGAATGGAACCTCCAAAAAGAAAGAATGAAAACCTTCTCACCGAGAAGTCTTTCATCTTTAGTCATATAATTCAATCATGTGTCAACACTCAAAAAACAAATGCCACAATGTTGATGGACATATGAACAAAACAGATGATAAAGGTAACACTTTAATCACTTCAGTATACATACACAGATGTATGCACACATCTAGCATGTTAAATTTAAAATATTTACTGAACTTAGCATAAAAGATGTCTAACAATATAATCATATTCCACGATCACTAAGAAGAAAGCAGTTACGACTTACAAATTCATGAACTCAAAAAAAAGGTTCAATTCAATTCTAAATGCTACCTTTGTCTTTGTGTATTTTATGAATCAAACTGGATAATTTTATGACTTATGACTTTTATGAATCAAACTCGATAAACTATACGCTTCAAATATTCTCAACTTGCATAACATATTAATATAAAGAAATGCAATTTTGAAGCTGCTCTTCTATGACCCTTCTTCACTGGGAACACATTAATATAAGTAGAAGTAAGATTTATGGATTTACCAAAATCCATAAATCTTGGTCTTCTTTTGGGTCTTGTTCTCTTGCTTTCTTCTTATATTTATTTCTCGCCTTGTATATTCAATAACTTGTCTCGTTCACGGCGGTTTGGCATTATCAAAACCTGTCATAAAAACGAACACGGCTTTAGTACGAAAACACGATAAACCCGTGTTTCAACAATTTCCCCCTTTTTGATAATGGAAAACAAGACGGGGTTATGCATAGGAGGATTGATTTGAGACTTAAAAAATGTTCCCCCTTAATAAATGCAATTTAGAAATAGTTCCCCCTTTTGACATTAACAAAAAGCAGTTCAAAAAATTGTAAAAAAAAGAACTCCTTAAACATTGATGTTTGATACTGAACATCGATGTTCGAAAATGTCCTGGAGCATCAATTGTCAACAATATCGTAAAACGATCTTCCCCCTTGATGCAGTTCATTGGGTTCCGTGCTTGGAGCATCCACTACAGGTTTGTAGTCTTCAAGCACACCCTTTTGTGTATCTAGTAATACCATTGAGGTACCCAATAGCTTTTGGGTCCTTGGGGGTTAGGCAAATAAAAATCATAATTATAAGAAGTGTCCCTATGTTTAGCAAAACACACGGGAGCTATGTGTCCTATCTTAGAACAATAATGACATACTACGTTTGGATTATGCATATGCCTAGGTTGAGCCAAAAACTTTCTAGGTGATCTAAAATCATTATTCATAGAATTATTAACTAAATTCCTATACTCATTTCTAGGTTGTCTCAAAATATTTCTACCATTTGTAAAAATTCTAGAGTCAATTCTAGGCTGTCTCACCTTGTTACTTTTATTCTTTCTAAAATTAATTTTGTTATACCTAGGATTATTAGTTCTTCTAGGTGGTTTATCATTCTTAACTTCTACCTTAATTTTTTCAATGGTGCTCTTAAGTTCTACATTCTCTACTTTTAAAGACTCACAAGAGGAACAAGTAGAACTTTGGTCAAAGAAAGAATCTTCATTCATTGCCTTAATTTTATTTTTGAGGTCAAAATTATCATTTTCCAAAAATTTATTTTCCTCTTCCAAAGCATGAATTTTTGCCTTAGCCTCTTTGGCAATTTTTGAAGATTTCTTTAATTCACCAAATAATTCTTGAAAGGCTTCTTGTAATTCTTCAAATGAGAAAGATTTAGAAGCACTTACCTCTCCATTTCGTTCATGAGCCATAAGACATAAGGTGGCAGTTTCGTCACCAGAACTTTCCGAATCCCATGCCATGTATGCTCGTTCCTTCTTTTTCTTTTCCTTGCGGTTTGGGCAATATGGCTTTATGTGGCCA